AGGGTTCAGTTTGAGCATTTTAGATTCATCAGTCTGCTGCTCCACATGTTCATCTCCACCGTTACTCTCAGCAGCACCTGATCATTCATTACTGTTTACAAATAGTGTTTTAATCCGTTTACTGCATAACCATTAAAAAGACCATGTGCAGGGTTTGTTTTTTTCTTTTTTAATGCATGCGTTTTTCCATGACATGCATTTTATATAGTTTATTTTAAATATGTTCAGCGTAATCGGCTAAATCGAAGGATGGACGAAGTAAAGTTTCATTTTGCAGGAGAATTGAAGGGTTTTACCCAATGTGTGTGTAGAGCTCTGACAATATGACACATGCGAATTAACGTCACTCAACCCGCCCACTTCAGCGAGAATCAGGCAGATAAAGCACACCATATCATCATCACAAAACGATTAAAATGGAGACAACTGAAACAAACAAATGACATGTTACTGTACATCAGTACATGATATGTCTATAGGCACAAACCTGTGTGTTCTCATTCATCATATTCATTTACTCGCAGACCGACTGTTGGCATCGAACATCAAGTGGTCTCGCCAGCAAAGAGAGCGCGCCATCCATAATATAACACCACAGAAATTCTCCGGTAATAACTCGGTAGAAAATGTATTTTAAACACCCTCATTTAGATAGACGCGGTCAAATATTCAGCCCAAATGCTCTGGAGAGACCTGAAACATATTATTTTTTCCTTATAGGCTATATGACACTTAAAAGGCGATTCCCCTTTATTTAAGGATGTTGCATATTATTCTGTGATCTTAAGGAAAGTGTTAAGTATTTGAGCACATAAGAGTAATAATTTGTATTTGTAATATTTGTTGCGCTCAGCAGCTTTTTTGACTAATAAAGCTCTTCATGTAAATTTCATTTATAAATTTTACCACGTCATATAAAAACATCAACACTTGTTTGAGCACACAGAACACATTTTATGTTTGCAGTTTTCCCTGATGTGTTTGATAAGCAGCGCTGTGCAGGACGGGAAAAAAGGCAGCCTAGTTTCTGCTTTCACTCACCGCAAAAAAAAAATGCTCCGTTTGCACGATTTGATTAATATCATCAAATCCAAATACTTTATAAATAATATTTCAAACCTTCTCCGGTGTTTAATGGTTTTAGAAAATATCTAAAATCTTTTTTTTCAGAGAGGTCTTTGTAAAATAAAAGTTTAATATGACTTTAAAACTGTTTGATTTATGTATTGTATATACCTTGTTATAGCTAGCTTTGTTTGTTTTTTATTGGTTTATTTATTTAATGCTATTTTATTATATCCAATATTTGTAATTCTTTAAATTCTTTCAATATAGCTTAGGCTACTCTATCGAGACATGACACTATTGTTTTGAGTCTACAAAAATGGACACGTCATTTGTTAGGATTAATGTCTTTCTGTTGTATTCTTGTTGTGTATTATCTCCAAAATAAATAAAAAAAAGAAAGCCGCTCGCCGCATCAACAGAGCTGTAAAAAAAACGCTCTTTTGCTCGGTCTCACACACACACACAGGCATCTAAACGTGTACAAACACACCTTTTAAACTTAACAAAAACTCTCGATAACCTTTACTGTCTGCTGTGCCTTGTCTAATATGGTGTAAAGATTATTATGTGTTATTGAAACATCAAGGAGGATGCAGCAAAGAAAAGTCACTTTTAAATTAAAACTTTATTATTTTATGCAACAGCCTTACATTACGGAAACATAAGGGTGGTCATAAGCAAAAAGACCCCAGCCTATAAGGCTAGATGTTTTCTTTCCTTTATTTGTTTATTTGTTTGGCGCATTAACTCGTCTGAGATCAGAAAACTAGGCTGCGTCCGAAACCGCCTACTACTCAGTAGGTACTGCATTTGAATGTAAACGTACTACTCGGCCGTTAGAAAGGGACGTTGTATACAGTATGAATGTGAAAAGTATGAATGGAATTCGGACGTACTACATCCGCCATTTTGTCATGGTCATGTGACCTACCTGCGTCAGTTGCGTCGCCTCACTTCCATTCATGAATTCTCTCACGGGGCATTATGGGATAGCGCAGCGTGCATGGGATGTGCACTTCAGAATCTCGTCGGAAGTAGTAAGTCATCCGGGTACTTCTCGCCTACTGATTTTCGAATTCTATGAATTCGGACATACTACTCGGCTCGCACACTGATTTTGGCGTACTATATAGCAGTGGTTCTCAAAGTGGGGGTCGGGACCCCTGGGGGGTCATGGGACAATGACAAGGGGTCGCTTGGTGATTTCCAAAACTCAAATAAATTTTTATAACCCAGAAAAATTAACAAAAAGCGCTCAGGGGTAACTCGAATATTTGGTCGGTGCTCTTTGGGTAAGGGATTCATCAAAACAACAACAGGAATTAGTCCAAGGCACTCTAAAAATGTGGAAAAATGAAAAAGCCTTTATTCATATGGCTATATCTTAAAAAACCTACGCATTTCGGCAAGGATCTGCCTTCATCAGGGTAACAATGATCAGGTGCGTCTAGAGTCTCTTTTGAGTACTACAGTCACATGACTCATTTAAATATCTCAACACTCAAATAATTTACTAACTATCATCATTATATCTGCATAGAGGGTGACATAAATCTATACACAGACATACACTTGCATATATAAGAGAAAGAGGAAAAAATATATACATAAACTAATAAACTAGGATGTACAGAAAAATATGCTTAAACATAGCATGTTAGTGCATACTTCCGAACACACACATATACATGGGCACATATATATATATATATATATATATATATATATATATATATATATATATATATATATATATATATATATATATATATATATATATATATACATATATATATATATATATATATATATATATATATATATATATATATATATATATATATATATATATATATATATATATATATATATATATATATATATATATATATATATATATATATATATATATATATATATATATATATATATATATATATATATATATATATATATATATATATATATATATATATATATATATATACATACATACATACATACATACATACATACATACATACATACATACATACATACACATATATATATATATATATATATATATATATATATATATATATATATATATATATATATATATACGTACGTACGTACGTACGTATGTATGTATATATATATGTATATATATATATATGTATATATATGTATATATATATGTATATATATGTATATATATATATATATGTATATGTATATATATATATATATATGTATATATATATATATA